CACACACACACACACACACACACACACACGTCCCCCAGTACTTTTCCAGGGGCAGCCATTGTCCTCCAGGCGGGGCCCACAGAATCCCCAAAGCAAAACTCAACCTCAAGGCCAGGGGTGGGGTTGCCCGAGCTGTCCCTCTATATGGCTGCCGCTCCCCACAGGCACGCGTCTGAGGGGTGGGCGGGTTGTGCCCTGCCCTGCTACATCACCAAGGACCTTCCAAAGCAAGGCTGGCCCCAGCAACCTCAGGAGACAAGTCTCCCTGGCTGCTCCTCATTGTCACCCAAGGACAGCGTCAGGCACCCCCAAGTGCTCCATCCATCCACTCACCATCCATATGCATAAACACCCCCCTGCTACCCCATCTCAACGGGGGCCCAGGTGCCTGGGCATAGCACCCACCACTGACCAAGCACCCCACCCTCCCCAGCCTTGTCCTTTCATGTCCTGAGTGGCTTGCACTGCCACCCAGTGGTCAGTGTGGGTACTGGACACCATGATTCCTGCTGAAAACAGCCGGTTCCAGCCAAGGCAGCCAGAACCCTCAGGGTAGAAGGGTGCTTCTGCCTGGGACTTTCTTCCTCGGCACCCACAGCAGGCTTGAACTGCCCCTCTGTTAGCAGCTAGCATTGGGACTGCGGGTGGCCTGAAGTTGGGGCTCCCTCAAGCCCTGCTCTGGGGGTTGAGGGGGGTTCTTATAGAACTATGAGCCCCTCAGTCACAGGAGTGGCCTCCGTGGGCCTGACTCTAGTGAAGCTGTCCCCACCCCCCACCCCCGCGCAGCCAGCTCTGTCTTTGCTGTCCACCCTTCCTGTGCTGCCCGGGCAGCCACAGCCCATGACCAGGAAGTGCTGCATGTTGCCAGCTACTAGTCCACCAGAGGATGCCGCAGGGCCCTCTCTCCCCGCACCATGTCACACGGATCCCCCTCTCTCTGTCTCTCCTCCACCCCTCAGTGTTCCCAACTCCTGTCCGGCCAGCCCCCGAGGTGCAGGCTCCTCCAGCTACCGCTTTGTCCAGAACGTGACCTCAGACCTGCAGCTGGCCGCGGAGTTCGCTGCCAAGGCCGCATCAGAGCAGCAGGCAGATGCGTCCGGAGGGGACAGCCCAAAGGTCAGAGGGCACTCTGCCCCCACAGCCTTAATGCCTGGGGCCTACAAGCCAGGCTGGTAGCGGGTGCCCCTCAGTGGTAGGAGCAGGGCTCAGGAGAGGTGGGGTGTGAAGCCCTCAGGAACACCATCTGGGGAGCCCCAGGCAGGGGTGGGGTGCCAAGGGATGCTTGTCTCCTTGCCCTGGTTCGGGGTCACCACACCCGTGTGCTCGCTGGGCCACGCGGGTTCCCTGCTATTGGTGGGGGAGGAGTGAGTTGAGAGCCTGCCGGCGAGGCTACCCTGGGGGTGGACGGGGCCCTGCGTCCACGCCCGTACCAGCGGACCCGACCTGGCCTGGAACCTGGACAACAGGTGTCCTCCACCCCGCAGGACGAGTCGAAGCCCCCCTACTCGTACGCACAGCTGATCGTGCAGGCCATCTCCTCGGCCCAGGACAGACAGCTGACACTAAGCGGGATCTACGCCCACATCACCAAGCATTACCCCTACTACCGGACGGCCGACAAGGGCTGGCAGGTGAGCAGGCACCGCCGGCGCGGCAACCCCAGCCCAGCACTGCTGTCCACCCGGGTCCCCAGGAGCTGCCCAAGGGCTCACAGGACAGGACCTCAGGAACAAGCTGACGTGACAGGTGTAAGGAGGGGGCACCTTGTGAGAGCCCCTGTCCCTCACAGACCTGCTGTCGTTGGCTGAACCCTGAGTCCCGGGCGAGTCCAGCCTCGCGGCCCTCAGCGGGGCCCTTCTCTGCGACTCGAGTTCAGTTCCAGCTTCCTCCACCTTTCCTCCCCTCTGACCCCCAGGCTTTCTCTTGTGATCCCTCTTGGAGCAGTGGGCAGGGCTAGCTGGGCCATCGAGTCTTCTGGACTTCGGGTTGTGGAGACTGATGCCTGGGTGCCCATTGGACTGAGTGTCCACATGTCTTCACTTGTCCTCGCCAGTCTCCTCTGGGAAGGAGCCCTGGTGGTGTAGTGGTTACACGCTGGGCTGCGATCCACAAGGCCAGTGGTCCGAAACCACCAGCCGCTCCTTGAGAGGCGGTCGAGGCTCTCCTCCCATCAAGAGAGATGGTCTTGGCGCCCCACGGGCAGCCCCACCCTGCCCTGCAGGGCTGCACCAAGGCGGTGGCAGGGAGTCTGGTTGCATTTGGTTCTTTTCCCTGGATGGGGGAGACCGAGAGTCGTATCTTCCATGGCTGCTCGAGACCTTGGAAGGCCCCAGTTGCTACTCAGCAGGGTAGGTGGAGACCCTGTTTGTGGGCTCTCGTGCTTGCTGACCCTGGTGTCCCTGGCCCCAGAGACCCCTTCCCTCAAGGCGTTGGTGCTGACTCACATCACGGCCCCATCAGGGGGTCTGATCACTCCCTGTGGGAGCAGGTCGCCAGGCTCGTCTTTAGTGGAAGAGCAATTTGGTGGTCCTGGACCACTGCCCGTTTGGTTTGTAGACGTGCGTAACCACGGGGGCTTGGAGCCTCTCTCTGGTGGCCATTGATGGGTCCGGCTACGTCACCATGCCGGATCCTTCCACTCACTTGGAAGT